GATAAGGCCGTCAGGATAACCTGGGATATTTTTAAGGTCTTTAACTTGAATCCCATCTTCCTGCAAAGTCCCTTTGCCTTGGAAGGTAACATTCACTGGTTCCAGGGATTTGGGCATAGATGACTTTGGTGGTGGGGCACAATTCTGCCACCACAACCACCATCCTCTTTTTTTCAGAAGAGGAAAGTAAAACTTAGAGGTGTTAGAGAGGAGAATAGATTTACCATTTGCCATAGTGTCAGAGAGGGCTTTGAATGTAGCTCTGATTCCAAATTCTATGCACTTAGCACTTTGCTACATGCAGTTGTGGTCTTTCGACTCATAATTTTACCCTCTAAAGGGACCACCCTAGATCCAATAAGCATTTATGTGTGATTTTTACATGACAGGTTTTCTGTTGGAGAGTTCCGATGTTTTAGGGAGTTAAAATCACTTGTGAGGCAATGTTTAGAGTTTATCTGATATTTGGGTTATTGTGGGTGTTATCCAAATTCGGCCTGTTTTTTCTCATGGAGACTTGATGGATGAGTGGAACAGAAGAAAAATTAATAACTATTGAAAGTAAAAATGAACTTTCAGAATTGATCTACTTCATGGACAGCAGCGAAAATTCCATCTGTTAAAATATGGAGTTGAGACATGTTTCACAAATTTGAAAGCAGACGTTTCCTTTACTTTTTGAAGGGCATGATAGAGATTTTTAATATGTGATGTTTTTGTGAAGGTCCCATTTTCTTTTGCTGTGTTACTATATGTATTCTTGTAGAGTAGATTTTCTAAAATTAAATGTCCTTCCCAATTTAACACAAAATTGCTTCATATCTGCACCTGGCACTTAAATTTTGGTTTAAAAGAAAGCTGTAGAATTGTATGTTATTGACATATTGTAAATCACCAACTGTGATTCTGCCACTGAAATTCAAACAGCATTTGTTCATGACATCGTCCAGATTTCATAATACTTGTGTTTTCTAAAAATGCTGGAGATAATTACTGAAACTAATATACATGTATAAGCTCCTTCATCGTGTGGCATTTAAAGACTCGTTCTTTGTCATTTTCAATCTCCATTTTCAGTTTGCAGAAAGGACTTGGTTCTTGAGAGAACACATCATTGTGAAAAGTTAATAAGAAAACTTGAATTTCATTTGCTTCCAATTAAGCACCAAAATGTCAGAACTTAATATCTTCAAAACACATAATAAGCCACATACCTTGTGAAAAGTATGATGACATTAAAATTAAGTACAGAAATCCAAATCCTGATGAAGAGCTTGAAATGGATAGTTTTGGCTTGTCAGGGTTACAAAGGTACCTTGACTTTTAGTTTCAGTTCCCAAATTGAACATTTTAAATCGTGTTACTTGAAGATGGGTGATCTACTGCAGGGTCATCAAACTATGGCCCATGGGTGAAAATTGGCCCGCTGCCTGCTTTTGTAAGTGAAGTTTTATTTAAGTATAGCCGCATTCATTTGTTTATGTACTACCTGTGGTACTTTCATGCTACAGTGGAAGAGTGGAATAGTGAAAGACGATTTGGATCACAGCTCCAAAAATATTTACTATTTAGGCCTTTTCAGAAAAAGTTTGCTCATACCTGATCTAGAGGAACATATATGCTACTAATACAGGGGAGACACCTGCCAGGCAATATCAAATAAACAAGCTGATTTTGTTACTGCATATGGAAACTTTGGTGTATACTTAGAAACACCTTCCCATTTTTTGTAACTGTTCAGAATTTCTTTTCCCACTTGTGTTGCTTGTCATAAGGTTGAGTGGCCCAACTCTTCATCCTACTTTGATTTCTTCTTGCCACTTAGCCTCTCTCCAGATTAATCAGCTAATTATATATTATACCACAGCGGGGTTCTGAGCTTCCTGTTTATCTACATGTCTCTATGACCTTATAATGGGTTTCTTTGTTGTTTCATGAATTGATTGATGATATGTAAATGTTCATGGAAACAGCATTTGTTCAAAATGACAGAACTATGAAATGAGGATTGTAATTATAAATACTGCTTATATTCTGTAAATTTATCTTACTGTCCCTTAACTGATAGGGGTATTGGCATTGAAAAAGCTTGGCTTGGTGGTGGAAGAGGTGGATCATTTTGTCTGTAGATAAGGTTCTTCTTTTCTTGGAAAGCCAAACTTAGTTGCTAGGCATGGGATTGTAGGGTGAATGACCAAGGCGATAGCCATTGCTGCTCCCTAGAACCTTATTACTTTTTGGGATTTTTAAGAAGTGTATTAGTGTTTTAATAACTATATTAGCTATAAAAAGAAATAAAATAAATTTTTATCTTTATAGTGTTTTGTAATACTGTATTGTAACATTTTAAAATTTTTAATTGAAATAATCTTATACTTCAGAGAGGTTGGAATAATGTTTCCATATATCCTTCATCTGTCCCTAATGTTAACATCCTACATAATCATAGTATAATTACCAAAAACAAGAAACTAATCCTGAGTCAGTACTGTCAACTAATCTACAGAGCTCATTTGAACTTTGCCTCTTTTTTACTAATGTTCTTTTTCTGGTCTTGGATCCAGTCCAAGAACTTACATTGCATGTAGTTCTCATTTTTCTCAGTCTCCTCCAATTTATACATTTTCATCATTTTTTCCTTCTACTTTCATGACCTTGATACTTTTAAAGGATACTATTTATTTTGTAGAAAGTGACTCAATTTGGGTTTGTCTGATGTTTCCTCATGATTAGATTGAACTTATACATTTTTGGCAGGAATAACAGAAGTAATGTTATATACTTCTCAGGGCATTTTATCTGATGGTACATGATGCTGACATGTCTTATTACTGGTGATGGGTTTTTTGGGGGGGGGGGGGGCTGACTGGTACAGGGATCCGAACCCTTGTCCTTGGCCTTACAAGGTGGCACTCCAACCAACTGAGCAAACTGGCTAGCCTATTATTACTGGTGATGTTATCCTTGGTAAAGTGGTGTCTCCAAGTTTCTTCATTGCAAAGAAACTATTTTTCCCTTTTTAGTTAAAACGTATCTTACAGGGAGACATTTTGAGATAATGCAAACATCCTGTTCCTCATCATATTCTCACCCATTAATTTTAGCATCCACGGGTAGATCTTTCCTGCAACAATTATTACTGTGGAGGTTGCCTAATGATGATTTCTATTTCCATCATTCCTTCTGTATTTATTATTTGGAATGCTATAGTAGGGAAGAGCTGTCCATTCATTCTCCTCCATTTCTTCAATTATTTATTTGTATCATTTATAGACTTATGGGTATTTAGTTTATTCTTTGGGTTATAATCCAATGCTGGCATTGTTTATTTTGTTTACAGGTTGTCTCAGCTTTGGCCATTGTGAGTCCTTCAGGTTGGCAGCTGTTTTCCCTTTGAGACACCTAAGTCATTTTTGAGTATATATTTACTTACTTTTTAGCATCACAAGGCGTTGTAGGCTCATCATGTGTTTTCCCTGTCCTCACCCTAAAATCAACCATTTTCCCAAGGAGATTGAGACACCTAAGTCATTTTTGAGTATATATTTACTTACTTTTTAGCATCACAAGGTGTTGTAGGCTCATCATGTGTTTTCCCTGTCCTCACCCTAAAATCAACCATTTTCCCAAGGAGCCCAGGTTCATTTACTGGAGAACAGTATTAGAAACTAGGACCTGGGCACTGGGTATGCTCATTGGTACTGGGATTTCATCGCTTCTAGGACCTCTTGGTGGACAGAGCGAGAAAATATGTTTGTACATATATTACCATATATGCATTAACATTCATCTATCCTATCTGTCTGTGTACCTGCCTAACTACTACTGATAAAAACTTTGACTTCATACTGATGCTGCTGATTTCAGTCTAATACCAGAGTTTAGTCTAGCATTTCCTTATTTTTGTAACTTCTGTTTCTGACAGTGAGAACATTGGCTTTCATTATCCAAAATATTTTCACTTTTTTCTTTATTATCGCTTGTGTGTATATAGTAGATTGAGAATTGCTAGACCATACTTCAAAAAGTTCGTGGAAAGATTATATTATCTTTTAATTCTATTTTTCTATGAACTTTCTGAAGTACCCTTGTATATGCTTGTGATAAACAAATTCACTAACTAGAATATAATGTGTAACCATTCTTTTTGTCTTTATGTTACATGGTGAAGGCACAGTTTTCCAAAGTTACTTAGGCTAATTCTTTTCTCCCCTTCCCCCTCTGGTGTGGTCATAATCTTCATTTGTACTATAGTTAGGTTCCTTTGTTTGTGTGCCATTTTGGATTCCTCTGGTGCTTCCTGCCTCACCTTGCCATCCCAGAGGATTTCAATTATTTATCTTTGTTTTAGGTAATTGAATTGTTACTGTGTTTCTAAAAGTCAGAGCTGTACAGAAAAATAAGCTCAGAAAAGTGTCACTTCCCCATTATTGCCACTGTCTGTTCCTATTTCCTCTTGCTTTCAACCCTATTGCTATTTACTCCTTTCGATAACCCATTTCCTCAGTTTCTCTTTTGTCCTTTCTACATTTCTTATGCACAGATGAGAGACATGTGTACAGTTTTTAATATCCCCTTCTTCCTTATAAGGGTAGCTTATACTGTGTGTATGTGTGCATTAATACACGTTCAGATATACATATGTACACACATACATAAATGCACTCTTTTGCATTTTTCCTTTCCATTTAACAATATATCTGGTATATAAAAAAGATTTAAATTCATCCCTGTTTTAGCATTCTGAGATATTAAACAGCTTTATTATTTTTCACCCATAGAATTTTGAATATGAAATGTACAACTTAGAAAGATAAAAGTAAAGCATCAAAATTCAGGGAAACATTATTTCTTTGCAGGTTTGCTTTCTAAAACTTAATATTTCTGGGTGCATTAAAATCAGTATTTTTCCACTGTATATTTATATGAAAATGGTATACATTTTTGGTAGTAATTTAGATGATTTTATTTATAACTGCAAATTTATCTGTCATTTCTAGCTGGTAGCAGTGTTTGATGAGCAAGATCCGCATCATGGAGGTGATGGCACCAGTGCCAGCTCCACAGGTACCCAGAGTCCAGAGATATTTGGTAGTGAGCTTGGCACCAGCAATGTCTCAGCCTTTCAGCCTTATCAAGCAACAAGTGAAATTGAGGTCACACCTTCAGTCCTTCGTGCAAGTAAGTGAAAGCTCTTTTTCTCTGCACATTTCATCTTAATTTACAGGGATGCCAACTTTTGTTATCCATCCATGCTCCTGTGAATGGAATTCATAGTCTGTTTTTATCAAAAACTGATTATGTTTAGAACCTGGGCAAATATCTTTTGCAAGAAAAGTAGGCAGTTCTTTATATTTTAGTAGATTGGGTTTATGTTAATTTTAGACTAGTAGACTTAATTGCTCACTAAAGGTAAATAAGGATAATAGTTCAAGTTAAATTACCTGGATTTTCCTTTCTGTATATTTCATGTGAGTGCTAGAACAAAGAGAATTGAATAGTATTGATACAAAACATAGCATTATTGATTGGCATTCAGCTTAGTTATAACCATTATTTGTATTATGTGAACTTTATCTGAAGAGCTGGGGAGGAAGAGACCTTAAGGCCAAAGTTATCTTCAGGGTTCTGGAAGAGCTGCTGTTAGAATGCCATCTTAAGGAGAGGGAATGTAAGACATGGTGAGTCTAATTAGGAATCCTAGGACCAAGGTACTCAAGTTCCAGGTCACTTGCTTGAAGAATTCTGGTTGCCATTTCTGGAAGGTTCACTTAGAAAAGTGAAGCATTTTTGCTAGAAATAATGTTTGGTGTTTGTAATTATATGATCTTATAATTGAGCAGTTGTTGAGAGTAAGAAGGTCCATTTCATGTAATTTTTCAGTTTAAAGATCATTTATCCTTTAGGCACATCTATGCAGAAACACTTGAGTTTTTCAAGTAGAAAATTTGGTTTGTGTGGGTTTACTGATTGATAGTCTTTAGTAGATCTTCATATATAAATAGATAATATATAATAATATATAATATATAAAAACAGCATGTAGAATATAGGTAGATAATATTTAGAATGCATAGTTTATTCTTCTAAAATGCATGCTTATTCCCAATTTTTTTCATTGGTAGCAATTGATAGCCTTTTGGCAATTTGCTTCCAGACGTTTATAAACTACCTCTGCTTCCACTGTCCTTGAAGGTATATATGAGAATATCAATTTACCAGTTAACAAATCAGGAGCCACAGGGAAAGTATGCCAGATAGAGGTGAAGAGCTTTAGAAAGGTACATTGCAACATGGGCTATGTAAGTGATGCCCTGGAGGATTATATATGTGCAGAGCAATGATAGCCACTTCTTACAGCTGCTTTCTGTCATTGGAGAAGATGAGACCCAAGAACAATGAAAAATGTTTCCAAGAAAGCTGGAGTGAAACAGCTGCTGTAAGTTGTTTGTACACATGTGTAAGCAAAATATATTTTAAACTAATTTTTTGGAAATAGCGTTTGATTTCTGCATGAATATACTATTTAAAAACATCTTATGTTGGATTTGCTTTGGGCAGTGTTTCTCAAAAGACGAAGCATCATCCATGCATGTTGTACAAGGTGATGTGTAGGTGGTATACAGGCTACCCTAGTGTCTTTTATTATGCATTAGCTCATTCAGCCCGTGATTTAATGGATATCTACTTGGAATGAGCCTACCTATAAAAAGTAGATTGCTAAATTTGACTTAAAGAAAATTCTAATGAAATAATAACAGGTATTCAGGAACCTGAAGTTTGGAAAATCATGTCTTTTTGTGAGTAAGTACACCCTTAATATATGTACTTAAATATGAGGGTACTTCAAAAAGTTCATGGAAAGATTCATATTCTTTTAATTCTATTTTTCCATGAGCTTTTTGAAGTACCCTCATACAGAACTTTTTGTTCTGCTGTTGTTATAGTGTTGTATTTGTGTGTTTTCTAAAGCAAGGTGCCCCTTTAATTTAGCCTCGTCATAAAAAATGTTGGAGGAAAGGTAAATCCTGTGTTTATGTAAAGAAAAACTTGAATGGCATGCTTTCCGTCAATTTTTATCTTTTCACTGCTCTGGACTCAACAAATTTCTAAAACAACCACCACATTTGGCTGGCCCTATGTGTTAAAATTTAAATGCTGTTTTCAACCCAAAATATCTCTCTTATCTTGTTTTTACTGAGAAAAAGAAGTTATATTTGAAGCATATGTGTTGTCTTGCAGCCACCAGTGGGAGAATATGCAAATCTTACTTTTCTTGCTCTGATTTTATATGCTAAGGTTGTTTAGATTTTATGTCCTTGGCAGGCGATGAGTAAGTACATGTTAAGCATCTACTATATATAAGGTTTGTGACTGTCTAAAAGTTACCCATTCCACATGAGTCATCTACCTATTAAGATGGTTTTTCATACTGTATTAATAACATTCATTCAGACATAAAACTTGAGCTCGTCTGTGCTGGCCAGGCGTTGTGCTATGTGATGAGTCCAGAGTTGTACTAATAAGTCCCAGTCTCTGCTATCAGGGAGCTATTTTTGCTAGTCTTTCTTATTTACACATATGAAAATGAAGAAGCCAACAATATGTAGAGATTTTTTTCAGTTGAGGATAAACAACTGTAACTAGGGAAATGATTGGTAAAGGATTTCAGATAAATCAACTTCTAATTTCAAGGACTGATAACTTCCTTGTATTTTCCAAGGAATAATTCTACTCCTCCCCTTTGTTCCAAAAGGAATTAATGAAAGCTGTGAAAAGTATGTAGTGTGTACTTTTTTTTTAAATCAATCAAATAGTAGATATTAAATTTGGGTATTAAGATAATGTTTGGGTGGGTTTAATACACAGAATTCTCATCTTGAGGTCTTTTTATGTTTTTTTAGAAGGTGCCATTAATTTGACCTTGAGCTTTTTTGTAGTACATACACAAAGGGGACTCTGATTTAGTTAAATCTGTGGTTTTCAATGGGGACATTTGGCAGTGTCTGGAGATATTTTTGGTTGTTACAATTGGTGGGGGAGGGGGGCTGCTACTGGCATGTAGTAGAGGCCAAGGATACTGCTAAACATTCTGCAAGTACGGGACAGTCCCCCACATCACAGGACTATCCAGCCCAATGGGGAGGGGGGCTGCTACTGGCATGTAGTAGAGGCCAAGGAAACTGCTAAACATTCTGCAAGTACGGGACAGTCCCCCACATCACAGGACTATCCAGCCCAATGACAATAGTGACAAGGTTAGAAACCCTGAAATAAATGAATCATTGTCTTTGCAGAGTAGCCATTTCCTGAAACTTGAGAGAAAAATTTTCTTAATTCCAGTATATTGGACAATATCCTGAATAGTACCCTTAAAGTAAAGGGCAAAGACATGATTACGAGCTAATAACAATATTGTTCATGGGAAGTAACTAATGGACAATAACAAAAGAAAAAAAGAGGAGACTATGGGTGGTATTACACAAAAATATTAGTATAAATATAATTATTAGAACAAAAATATAAACTTTTGTATATACTAAAAAATGGGTTTTAAGAAACGACAGATTAAATAAAATAAACCAGAGAGTGAAAGACTATTTAAAAGCTTCTTATGTTAAATAAATAAAATAAGGTAGGATAACTATAAAAAATAGGTACCTAAGGGTAAGGGAGAGATTAGGGTGGAGGAAATTGAAAAGAAGTTTGACTTATCTACCTTGTTTTGTATATTTGATGTTGGAATCATATTATAATTTACAAAATTATAAAACAGGCAAATTTAATTTTTAAAAGTTCTTAATGAATGATTAATATTAGTATTATGCATAATAAAATGTTAATAAGTAGTAGTTCTTAATTCTTAAAAAATTCATAAGAAACATAAGCAGAAGTATGTAAGTTGATGGCCCAAACATAACAAGAGTAACTATTTCAAGTAACTTTAAAGCACAGTAATTTGTACAACCATAGGAAGATGTATCTTAAGGAAAGAGAAAACTTCCAAACAAATGAGAACCCTAAAACTGTTTGTTGTTGGTAATGTTGATATTGTTAATTCTAGATTGCTGGGTAGGGGTTATGGGAGGAAGCAAATGAAGAATTATATTTTAATTGCTGTATAGAATTTAATTCTGTATAGAAGAAAAAGGATATAGATGTAAATTGGAAGAGAATAAACAAAAATCCCATAGTCCTTAATTTGAAGACGACAGCCAATGAATTAATGATATGTTTTCTTACCCCCCAAAAAAAAAGAAAAAAAAAAGAAAAGGTGAAGGGAATGTGTATGTGTTCACTGGAAAGGTCTGGAATCAGTAACCAACCAGCCCCGTAACTGAGCATTTCTCATATCCAGAGTATGCTCTGGAAATAGCATTTCCCGTTAAAAGGGATCTGAGCTCCATGGAGAAATGGCTGAGTGCATGAGATGATTCTGGACCATCCTGATATGTCAGAAAATAAGGAAGCTACGAACAATTACTAGGATTGTATTAAAGTGTCTGGGAGCCAACATGAAGCTCTTGCTGGCCAAAGATGGGAAAATTGGGACATCAGTAAGGATGGTAACAGCAATAAATTTACAAATTGATAATGATAATAAATAAATAAATAAGCAAGCTAAAAAATGATGGCAAACCAAATTTTATTTGGAAAACTGGTAGAGGAAAGAAAGAATGTTATCTACAGTGCATTTCCTATAAGAAAGTTATCACTGAATAACCAAAGTCATAGATGAGGGGGAAGTTTCTTTATATATAACTATTCCAGCTAATAAATGAAAAAGTAACGATAGAATTAGACTTACTATTTTGTAACTCCTGATGAAATAATGGATCTAGGTGTTGATCATTGCTGTGGTCTGAATGTGTCCCCCAAAATTCATGTGTTGGAAAGTTAATTCCCAATGCAACAGTGTTGGGAGGTGGGGCCTTATGGGAGGTGTTTAGATAATAAGGGCTCTGCTGTCATGAATGGGTAGCAGCATTAGCTATAAAAAAAAGGGCTTAAGGGAAGAGGGTTCACTCTTTTTAACTCTCTGCCATGTGAGGGCACAACATTCATCCTCTCTTTCCCTTCTGCCTCACACCATGTGAGGATGTGGTAAGAAGGCCCACACCAGATGCTTGATCTTGGACTTCTCAGCCTCCAGAACTGTGAGAGAATGAATTTCTGTTCTG